GCTAAATCTATTCATTCTGGTGGGTGGTGTTGATAATGGGGGGATATGCATGTGTGGGTGCAGAGGAAATGGGAAATCTCTATACCTCCTTTCAATTTTGTTGTAAACCTAAAATGCTGCTTAAAAAAAATGTCTTTAAAAAGTTAAAAAGAAAAAAGCAGAGTATGGTGAGAACGTAAGTAGAAGACACAATAGGTACCACAAAATTAAGATTCAGGCTTAACATACGCCAGTCCCAACTTAACTTTGTTTTGTGTTTGAAGAATGTATGTAGCACTTCCTTATATATTTTTACACATTGAAAACTGGACTTGGTGTAACTATCTTTCCTTCCTGTTATCTGACAAAGCTGATGCTTAAGCCTCAAGCTGATTTCATTGGTGCGTGAGAAACAGTGGGTGCGATCTGCAAGGAACCAGATTCCCCTCGGGCAGCAGAGTAAAATGGCCGTCTGTGTCACCCCTCGAGTATGTAGTAAGCGCTGTAGTCCCATGGGCCAAGGTGCAGATTCTTTAAAATTTTTTTATGTAATTGTGTAACTTTTTTTGCATTTTTACCGGATGACATTGTTTTTTTACAATAAAACCTTTTCTGATTGAAAACTTGTTTTAAAAAGCATATGTTGGGATTGCATGAGAGTATCTGCAAAGCCTATGAGCGGAATTGCTAACAGAGAGGGCCCAGGTGTGAGATCACCTCCTCTGTCGGGAGGGCCTGCTTGTCCTCAGGAGGTAGAAGCAGGTCTGCGAGCTGGTTCACTGGGAGCCAGGCCCAAGGCCGAAGGCAGCTCCTGGGCCGCAGAGCAGCCGTGGTGCGGACAGAAATGTGAGCTGGGAGCGCTCTCCCTTCCGGGCTTTCCACCGCAGCTGCTCTGTGGTTTCTGCCCTGAGTGCCCTGAGAGAACTTTGGCATTTGCTGAAAGGTCATGGGCTGCAATTTTAGATCATTGGGTAACTCGAACGTCTGACACTGAGACGCAGCTGCGAGGACTGATTGCGGCGCTCAGCTGCCCGCCCGGCTAGGCGGTGACAGAGCCTTCCGGGCCTTCGGTGGGAAGGTGGACGACTGCTGATAAAGGACACTCACCAATGCCCCTCCCTCCCGACCCGCGGACCCAGGCTCCCCTCACTCTTCACATCCAGGCCTGCCGGGCACCCTGCTTCTCCCTTAGTTGTTTTAAAGCAGGGGTTGGTTTGTTTCACTTCCAATCGGGTGTGAAAAATACTTTATAAAGCATAATAAAAAGAGTTACTGGAAAGGTCAATAAGCACATGAAAAGATGCTCAACATCACTGATTATTAGGGAAATGACAACCAAAGCCACAAATTAGATATTTCGCTGAACTCATCAGAGTGGCTGTTATAAAACACACACACACACACACACACACACACACACGAAAATAGCAATAGTTGGCAAAGATGTGGAGGTATCAGAACCCTTGTGCACCGCTGGTGGGAATGTAAAATGGTACAGCCGCATGGAAAGAGATACGGTAGTTTTCCAAGATATTAAATATAAAATTAACCTGTGAGTTAGCAATTCTACTTCTGGGCATGCATCCTAAAAAAAACCTCTGAAAGCAGGGACTCAAAGAGATTTCCACATTCGTGGCAGCATTATTCACGATAGCCAGAGGTGGGAGCAACGTAGGTGTTCCACTGACAAATGGAGGGATAAACAAAATGTGCTGAATCCATAGGATGGAATCATACTCAGACTTAAAATGGAGGGAAACTCAGACAAATGCTACAATATGGATGAACATTATGCTGAGTGAATAAAAGGCAATCACAAAAGGACAAATATTGCATGATTCCACTTATACTGGTATAAAGTACCTAGAATAATTAAATTCATAGAGACAGAAAGTACCATCTGCTGGGGACTGAGTGGGAATTATTGTTTCCGGGGCACGGAGTTTTATTGAGAAGATGAAAAAGTTCTGGAGATGAATGGTGGTTGCAAAATAATGAACTTAATGCCAATGAATTATACACCTAAAATAGTTAAAATGGAAAAAAATTACTGGAAATAATGAAATTTAAAAATAGTTATAAAATATAGGGCCTGATTGTTTAGTGTTAGATTGCAATTTCATTTAAAATTAAATTACATTTTATTGTTGAATTTAAGTTACATTTTAATAAATATGAACAGAACAAGCATAACATTTGAAAAGTGCTATAAATACTCTCAGTTTTTCTACCTACCTGCTCATGGACCAGTACGGTTTGCAGACTGCCCAGGATCCACTTGTATTTTGCTTTGCAATGAAGTGACCTTTAAAAAATGTACAGCTGCATGAATTGTAGCACACAGATTCAAGTTATCATCACTAGCAGCAGGATATAGAACAGTTCCATCAGGCAAAATACTCCCGCGTTCTGTCCCTTCCTCTCACTCCCAGCCCCTGGCAACCATGCACTTGTTCTGTAACTCTGTGATTGTGTCTGGCTGAGAATATAACACAAATGGAATCGTGGAGCATGTAGTCTTGAGACTGGCTTCTTTCACCAGCACAGTGCCTTTGAGATTCAATCCAGTGCTACATGTAATAATAGCTTGTTCCTTTTTATTGCTGAATAGTATTCCACTGTATATCTACTATAGGTTTTCCATTCACCCTCAAAGAGCATTGTGTGCTTGTAGTTTCTGGCAATTATAAATAGAACCGCTATAAATATGTGTGAATGGGTGTTTGTGCGAATGTACAAGGTCATTTCTGTAAGGAAGATGTGACGTCCACCCTGCGTGACTGCTTTGCACCAATCATGTGGGAAACCCTTCATCAGATGACAAGGCCAGAGTTCAAAGGAAACCTGGACACTGTGAGCCCGGCCTCTCTCTTCACCTGGCAGCCATTCACGGGCAGGAGCCAGCTCTTTCTATGATTATCTCTGAAGAATCACAGTTGAACCCCCATGTGAAAGACAAAACTTATTTGTTAGTGGCAACATGACTCATCGGGACCACAGAAAGTTCCATTCTACAGGCCTCACCATTTCCAGAAGCTGCACGGAGAGAGAGAGTTTTCTGGTTGAGGTCCTGGCGATGTCAGCATGCGATGTTCTGACAGAGCGGTTCCTCTTCTAGAGCTGGACTTAGGGAAGCCTTGCACAGTCCAGGCCCACAGAGGAGGGCGCTTGCTGCAGCGCTTCTGGAGGGCACACGCTCCCAAAGCAGCCTGGGGTGCAGCACGGCTCTGGCCTCACGGTGGGCGGTGGGCGGCAGGCACCGTGATGTTGACGCAACCCTTGCAGCAAGGGATCGCCGTGCGACACGCACCCGGCCAATTCTGTGTACATGGAGGTCTGTGGCGTGGGGGCGAGGTGTGTTCTGGGGAAATTTTTCTTTTCTAATGAAAGGGAACTGGTGTAGCTGGAGCTGCCCTTTCTCTCCTCCGTATGGGCTCGATGTTCAGAGCCGTGGTGGCCATGTTGTGCCCCCGAAATGACAAGCCCGGGGGCAAAAGCCAGCACCAGGGAGCACAGAGAAGGGAGAGAGGTCCCGAATGGAACCTTGAACGGCCGAAGGAGTGCCAGCAGACACCTCTGGGTGCACGTGAGAAAACGGGAAAAATAACCCCCCACATATCGAAATCTCTCTGAGTTTTCCATTACTTGTGGCTAAACACATTCCGATTGAAATAACTGTCAAAGGAAAACATTCAAATTGCAGAGCAATGTGCATATTCTCATTTGTAAAATGAGATTATATATACATATATAATAGCTATATATACAGAAAAAATTTGGAAGGGTAACAATAGCTAACAAGTATTGAGCACCAATTGTGTGCCAGGCACATCTTAATCCTCACAACCACTCTATAAGGCAGATGTACAAGTGGGGAAACTGAGGCTCTACACCACTAGCACACCACTAGGTGGGGACTCAGAGTCAGGTCTGTCCATCCATAGGGA